CTGATGGGTCTTCAGTAGACTTTTATTTAAACAGGATAGAAAAAGAAACCCTTGAGCAAGGGGAGCTCCGAAAGAAAGGGGAAGCTCCCGTACCATATCACAAACAGCTTATATAGTATTGTCGCTCCCCCTCTTCGTGGAGGAACGACACAGGACCCTGCGCTGTTCTTTCGTCTGCTCGGCCCTCCCCGGGTTTGCTGCTGGTTCTTCCCGGGTTGGCTACTATCCCTTCCACCTCCGTGGAAGGGCAGTTCCCCCTGGCCACATTCCCCACTTCCGCAGGGGAGCGGCACACCGCCGGCCGGCTCTCTCGGGGGCTGCACGGGTTCCCTCAGATGTTCCCCATAGATGTTCCTGGTGCATGCCGTCTCTCTCCTCCTTTATAGTCCTCCTCCGCCAATCCCAACTCGGCTGCCCACACGCCGAGTACGCCGCTCTCCAATCAGGAGCAAGTCCTACAGTTTATTAGTTGAACTGGAGGCAGCTGTGCGGAAGCTGTTTACTTCTCTCCCAGCGCCATATTGTGGGAGAGCAGATGCATAGAATAAGTCCTAATTCGAGTAACTTAGTCTAGTCCGGATTGCTCCCCACATAGTATATCATTGCAGAAGCATGTAATGCAAGCTTAGTCCATGCTACAGTCCATGCGGCGGTGCTCCAATCGGGTGCCTGATCACGCACAGTCCATGCGCTCCTTGTCCAACCATAAAGGTGATCACGCGCCTTCATCCAATCAAGCTCCTGGTCACGTAGCAGGCGACTTGGGTGCTAACAACCAGCTTCCACCTGGTGTTTTCTCAGCCTTGGTCAGTGGGAAAAGAAGTACGGGAAGCCCCAAGGCCATGGTTATTTTGACTCTAGCCTGGGGTTATGAAACGGTCCGATATCACAGCTCAACAGAAACCATAAACATCCACACAGCAGTAACTATTGCAAACAGTCAGCAAGCTAAGCCTTAGCATGTGGGCCCATGGCTGGCTCATGGGTCCCCACAATCTAAGAGACAGAGATAAATCTGGGTTCATACCAAGCACCAGGAACCAGCCACGTGGAATAGAATCTAGGGCAGGAAGCCTACGGTGGGTGGCCTGAAGGCCAGGCACTCTGGGAGCGCAGGGCTACAGCAAGCCCCCTCCTGGCAAGAGGCCAGGAAACAGAAGAGGAGGGGCTGGACACACCATGTCCCAGGCTTTCAACCCACTTCCAAAGGGGAGTGGTTAAGTAACCTGATTGGCCAGTGGGCACTCGGATGTGGCCAGGTAGGGGCATGAAGTCACACAGGGGCATGACAAAGGTATCAGGTAGGGTGTGAGGTCACACAGGGGCCTGGTGAAGGCGTGGTCTCCCAGCTCACAAACCTGATCAATTTTAACCTATATGCCTGCCTACTTCAGTTCTACCTGTGTGTAGGTTGAGCTCTCACCTTCCCACCCAGAAGGGGAGAAAGTGGGAGCTACCACCTCCGTGTTTGCATTTCAAAGACCAAGCCCCCAGGCCCTGAAGGAAAACATTTCTGACTTGAGAAACTGCTGAAAGGCTTAGTTGGCTTTTTAAAAAGATTTAAATACATCTAATACATCTCGGAAGGAAAAAGAATTTATAATTACACATTTTCTAAAGAAAGTACTCTGAAAAAGAAGGGAAATGGTCTCTTCTTGTTTTTATATCAAGGACTTTTTTTGTTTGTTTGATTAAATGTGTGTTTGCACTTTTCCAGGAGAGAAAGAGGAAACCTGATTAAATTAGAACACAAAGCAGGATCTGCTCAAGGGCCGATGAACGGGACCAGAGGTGTAGGAAAACCCCTGATGTCCAGAGTCTCAGGTGGACAAATCGAGACTTGGGTTGAGGAAGTGTTATGGAGTGATGAAGGCAATCTCGGTTCCTGTCTCACATCAGCATTTCCACATGGACAGGGACAGTGAGCAATGTGAGATTTATTGAAGTGAGAAACCTGCCGCAGCAGTCAGGAGGGCGGCTTCCAGGAAGGAGTTGCCCAGGAAGCTTGTGGGTACTGGCTCTTTTACACACAAAAGTGGATAGCTAGGTTTAACCAACCAGGCAGGAGGAGAATAACAGTTAACACCCCATCCCGAGTCAGAGAGTACCTATCAGAGGACTGTTATTAGCAATCCTGTCTAGCCTATTCTCATGATAAAGCTAAGAAGGGGGCACTTTATCCACTCTTAAAGGGACTCTGCACCTTTTCTCATTCCTACGGGGAACTGACCAATCTGCCTATTAGCCTGTCTGACTCCTCATCCACTGTTACTTTGTAACATCAAGTTCATGGGAAAGAGGCCAAACTTGAACTGTGAGGTGTCCAGTTTAGAACAATGTCTGCATTAGAGTAAGCCAGATGCCAGAGGTGTAGCAAAAATGGTGTGGTCCAGAGAAGTCTCTGGTCTAGACTACTCTGTGTCCTCTTTAAGTTCTGGGCAGATGCCAAAGGATGTGACTATTAAAAAGAAGAGTGTTCCCAAGCCAAGCATTTCCTGTTACTATTTTAATAATATTTAGAGCCTTTTTTCCCCCTTGTCCTGGTCTCATGAAAATTGGAGAGGAGCAGACATTAACTTCTGCATAGTAATTATTTTTCTAGTACTTGAGAGTCAGAGCTAACCTGCCTCAACTTTCTCACCTTCATACTTCACCATCTAATACTAACAACTGCAAATAAGTGGTTAAGAGGGAAATTGAAAGACAGAATATACATTAAGAATGAAAAGGACAATCAAATGAATTTAAGAGTTCAGGGAGAAGAAGGACTGGAAATTAATTTTTACTGTTTTCTTGTTGCTTCTCTCAATTTACCTGTTCTAAAACAAAAGCATATCTTTTTTTTTCTCCTTAATTTAGGAAATGTCATGAAATACTAAAATGTGGGAGGTGGCAGGGAGGAGGCAGGAGGAAGGCATTATTCTGCGACAGAAAAATAACCACCATTAACACTTCCAAAATACAGGCTTCTAGCATTTTCTCCATTCCTTTTTATACATAATTGAGCTATATAGAATCTTATTTGATAGTGTAATGTCTTATTTGATAGTATAACGAAGCATTTTTCAGTACTGTAAAACTCATGAGTGGATAGTCATCTGTTGCTTTGCAACAAATTGTGTGCATGTATGAAGCTTACCAGCGAGTAAATAATTATCCAACTTAATTCCTGTGAGTCGAAAATCTGAGACAGACGTGGCTGGTATTTCTAGTTCAGTGTCTTATGAGGCTGCAGTCAAGATGGGGCCTTGAGGAGCCAGTGTTGTGGTGTCACAGGTAACGCTGCCACCTGTGATGCCAGCATCCCATATCGGCACCGATTTGTGACCTGGCTGCTCCACTTCCGGTCCAGCTCCTGGGACAGCAGTGGCAGATGGGCCAAGTGATTGGGCCCCTGCTCCCCATGTGAGAGACCTGGCTCCTGGCGTTGATCTCATCCAGACTTGGCCACTGCAGCAATGTGGAGAGTGAACCAGTGGATAAATCTCTCTCTCTCTCTTTAATCCTACTTTTCAAATTAATTCATAAATCTTTAAAAAATAAAAAATACAGTGGCCTGGGCTGCAGTCACTTAAGAAAGGTATAGTGCAGCTGAAGCATCCGCTTCCAAGGTAGGTCACTTGCAGGCTATGGCAGGTGGCCTCAGTCCATTGTCACATGGGCTTCTCTGCAGGGCTGCTTGAGTCTCCTCACAACATGGCACCTGACTTCTGCCAGAGCAGGTGACCCGAGAGAGAGTACAGTGAAAGCTACAGTGTCTTGTGTTGCCTCTTAAGCCACATGCAATCATTTCTGTAACCTCCTAGTTACACAGGCCAGCAATATTCAGTGTGGAAGGGGCCTACGCAGGACTGGGATCACCAGAGACCAAGAGAAATGCTGGCGACCCTCTTAGAGGCTTGCTACCACAAGTTTTCTTTTCTTTAATATGTAGTTTAAGGCAGAATGACAGGGAGAGGGAGATCTTCCATCCACTGGTTTATTCTCCAAGTGGCTGCAACAGTCATGGCTGGAGCAGGCTGGAGCTGGAAGCCTGGAATGCCATCAGGGCCTCCTCCCTGGGTGGAAGGGGCCCAAGTGTGTGGGCCATCATCGTCTGCCTCCCGGGTCCATTGACAGGAAGCTGCATAGGAAGCAGAGCAGCTTAACCAGATGCAACACACCACCAGCCCCCACAATGGGAGTTCTTAATGGTTGCAGGAATCTTGTCACATTGCTCTGTAACTGTATTCCTGGCTTATACAGGTTGGGTATTGTTTCCAGTAATTCACTGTAACAAATAACCCTCTACCAAGCACCTTTGTATATTAAACTTTTTTTTTTTTTTTTTGACAGGCAGAGTGGACAGTGAGAGAGAGACAGGGAGAAAGGTCTTCCTTTACCGTTGGTTCACCCTCCAGTGGCCGCTGCATCTGGCGCGCTGCAGCCAGTGCACCGCGCTGATCCGAAGGCAGGAGCCAGGTGCCCCTCCTGGTCTCCCATGGGGTGCAGGGCCCAAGGACTTGGGCCATCCTCCACTGCCTTCCTGGGCCACAGCAGAGAGCTGGCCTGGAAGAGGGGCAACCGGGACAGAATCCGGTGCCCCGATCGGGACTAGAACCCAGTGTGCCAGCACCGCAGGCGGAGGACTAGCCCATTGAGCCACAGCACTGGCCATATATTAAACTTTTCATCAATACTTCACATTACCTCCTTACAACGTGGTCTCAGAAGTGAGACTGTTGAGTTAAAACAACTTTTAGTTTCCTTTTATATTGTCTTCAGAAAGCAAATTATAGTTTTATATTGCTCATTTCAGTTAATATATCCTTTTCCTTTTATGTGCTCTGGTAAATGCCTTAACTATCTAGGCATTGATTCATCACTGAATGTTTATTTTTCATAGAATGAATTCTCTCTCTAATATATGTTGAGTAGATACTCTGTTTCACATAAATAATAATGTTTTAATACTTATGGCATGTGGGTTTTCTCATTGTTGTGTAACCATTTTGTTGTAGATCCTCCTGAGTTTGTTTGTTGCTGTAATTTTGGACAACTTAGAACTTGATGAAGATCTAAAGAAGCTAAAACAAGTAAGTAACATTGGGGATTTTTTAAACCTGCATTTTAAAAAATAAGAGCAACATGTGCTTATAGGAAATACTGAGTTTGAGCTTCAAAGTAAAAATAATAGAACTTAATAAATTAAGACAAAATGAGTTGTCAGAATGGTATTCTTTTAGCTATTATCTAATATAAACAAGAGAAATGTTCTATTGCTCTATGAATAATCCTAGAGATAGTTTTATGTTACTGAATAAAAATGAGATCAGAATAACAGTATATTGGATTTGGAGATCATTTTTTTGCCATTAAATGAATGCTGTTGGCAATTAAATGCTTAGGGCCAGATTGCCGTTTTGCCTAATTGTGTGTCATACTCTTTTTTGTTTATTTTTCTTTTTTTCTGTTTTTGTTTTTTTGACATGCAGAGTTAGACAGTGAGAGAGAGAGACAGAGAGAAAGGTCTTCCTTTGCCGTTGGTTCACCCCCCAAGTGGCCGCTACAGCCAGCGTGTTGTGGCTGGCGTGCTGCGCTGATCCAAGGCCAGGAGCCAGGTGCTTCCTCCTGGTCTCCCATGCAGGTGCAGGGCCCAAGCACTTGGGCCATCCTCCACTGCCTTCCCGGGCCACAGCAGAGAGCTGGAATGGAAGAGGAGCAACTGGGACAGAATCCGGCACCTCGACTGGGACTAGAACCCAGGGTGCCGGCGTCACAGACGGAGGATTAGCCTAGTGAGCAGGGCGCCGGCTTCATACTCTTGATCCTTGATATAAATGCATTCAACATTAACTTACCTGACCTCTAGGTGCTGAAAGAGAATTTAGTCTGGATGTCCATTGTGATTGCAAGCCATTAGATAAAATAAATGATCAGATGTGTACCTAGTGAAGTATGAAGACAGAATGGCTGCCAGGGCAGTAATGACTCTCCCCCCAGAATGGAAATGGACATGGGTGAAGGTTATGTTTTTAATGAAAGAAAAAACACAGGCAGGCTTACCATGCCCTGGTTGCTCAAATCTTTGGCTCTTTCAAAGATTCTGGTCTCTATGATAAGTAGAGTTGGTGTGGAAGGGAACACTCCTTAGACATTGCAAGGGTAGTTGGGATGTTAGCAGATAGAAACGAGGCTCTACAAGAATTCTGTCTGGAATCTATATGAAGGCCCTAAACGTTCAGAATTTCCAATAGCTGTCTATATTTTAATAAAAAATAGAACCTATTGAATTTTTTTATATTTGTTTTTAGATATCTAATGGTCACTTTAGACATTTCATTTTATTATCATTTTCTCCAAAGCCTATGCATTTAACCAAGGATACTAATAAGGAAAAAAAGTATTTAATATAAAGGTTCTAATGATGAGAAACTAAGACAGATTTTGAGTTCTTTAATGTCTTGCAGCTACACAGACAAAGAGGTATCTGGTGGGTGGAGATGGCTTCTTCCAGATCTTTTCACTTTGTGTTGGAAAAAAATGAATTCTTCAAACCAGAGTTAGGAGTGCTTTGATGGCATAAATTCATTGTAGGAAAAAACATGTGATATGTGGGTTCAGCATTGAAACTCATCAATAGTAAAATTAGACATCACCAATACAAATCTTTTGGTGTGTATCCATATTAAATCATACTTGACAAATCTATATACATGTGGATTTTCCTTTATACCATATTCATTATGCATTGAATTTGAATATCATCTGATAGAGTACATTAAAATATATACTCTACACATAAAATGAAAATATTCTATTGTTTCTGTGTGCTACTGTCAGGTTCATTATGGTTCTAAAATACCTTTTGCCAAGTAAAACGCTATGCAATTCCAACCCATATTTGTAAAATAGTTTTTTTTTAAGAAATCAGAAAAATAAATTTATATGTAGCAATTTTTTTCAAATTCATGAAGTCAAATGTGAAAATATTTCCCAGTGTTTTTTTTTTCAATATTTTAATTTATTTTTATATAAAAATATATACATATAACTTTATAAAAATTTTTTTTGGTTTGTCTAAGGATCTATCTAAGGATCACTTTGGGTTTCATTTAATTTTTATCAAGTAAAAAGCTTAGGACTTGACTTGGAATCTAACTTATTTTCTGGACTATAAAGTGTTAATAAAGTACATGGTGCGTTGAGTATATCATTAACTATAAATGGTTTTCATTTAATCACTTGTTAGATATTAGTGATGCTTTGTTTTTGGAAATTCTGTACATGAGAATTGATTATCCAATTGTACTAACCTGCAGTTTTGAGTCTCTTCTTTGAATATTTAGAAAGACTTCAGCACTGACAACTCCAATCACACATACAGCAGCAATTTCATTTTCATTAGTACTTTTCACATTGTTCTTTATTCATGATTGGACTGAAACTGCCTACCTGTTAAATTCATCTATCAATTTCACACTTGAAATTTGTTGGAGCATGTATTGTTATACAAAGTTAAAATATTCCTAGTTTATTTTAATATAAGAATGTTTTTATTTTCTCTAGTTATTAGTAACTAATGTACCTGGTTTCCTTAACTCCAGTGAACTTTGCCTAGAGGTAGGGTTCATTTACCTAATTCTCAGAACATGCACACACCAACACATACACATTTGCATGCAATTTCATACATACATGTGTATAATAATGTGGGTACCTGAAATTTTACACTGCTTCTGTGTAAAAATTTTTTTTCTTAAACTTCCATTAAAAATGATACCTGAATTAATTGTTTATTTGCTTTCCATATACCAATCCAACCTTTAAGATTTAAATACATATCCTCTATTTTTATTGTTCCCAGGTAGAGAATAGAATAGAGGAAATATAAGGGGGAAAAAGAATTTAGTTTTTCTAAAATTTCAAGCTCTAGGAAGCTGTAAGTATTCCAAATTCGGTCTTCATTCAGATCAAACCTTTATTTGCCTTATACTCATTTCTGTCAACGAGTGTATAGGGTATTATGGCTACCAGTGGTACTGTTGAATACTTCCTCATGCAAGGCACTTTATACCTTTTTTTTATTAGCAAATATACCTTATTTTATTACATGCCATCTACTGTCTAGAATCTATGGATTCAAAGATGAATAAGATAATTTTTTCTTGATGAGATTATACTAGCATACACTTTTTAAATTTATTTTTTAATTTTTTAAGGAATACAAATTTCATAAGTATGGCTCCCACCCACACTCTTAACCCTTCTCCCTCTCCCATTGCCAGTCGCATTCTCCATTAAGATTCAATTTCAATTAACTTTGTACACAGAAGAATAACTCTATGCTAAATAAAGATTTCAAGAATTTGCACACACACACAAAAGAAAGAAACTGAGAACTAGTTTTACAGTTAACTCTAAATACAATTCATTGGGGACAGAGATCCCGCATGGGGAGTTTAGTGCACAGTGACTCCTATTTAATTTAACAATTAACACTCTTACGTATGATGCCAGTGACCAGCCAAGGCTCTTGACATGAGCTGCCTAGGCTATGGGAGTCTATTGAGTCTACAAACTCTGTCATTGTTTGAACAAGGCCATAAGCAAAGTGGAAGTTCTCTCCTCCCTTTGGAGAAAAATGCATCCTTTGAGGACCACTTTTTCTACTGGGGTCTCTCTCACAGAGATCCTTCATGTAGAATATTTTTTGCCACAGTGTCTTCGTTTTCCATGCCTGAAATGCTCTCACAGGCTTTTCAGGCAGACAGGAAGTCTTAAGGGCTGATTCTGAGGTCAGAGTGTTATTGGAAGCGATTATCATTCTGTGAGTCTGCTTCTCATGTTAGACATAATCTCATTTTTAAATCTATCTATTGTTATTACCAGGCACTTGATCCTTGTTATATGATATCTTTAACACTTAATCCTATCTATATGTTCACCTAACTCTTAATATGATCACTTTAACAATTAAGATGGCATTTTTGCCATCAAGCTTAATGGGATTTAGAGTCCCATGACAATTTTCTAAACTGTACCCTTAGAAGTAAGTCCATAGGAATGTATGCAGAACTATACAGCTTTACAGTTATAAATTTCCTCCTCCCTCTCTTATTCCTACTCTTATTTTTTACAGAGATCTATTTTCAATTGAATTTATACACATATGATTAATTCTATGGATAAAGACTTCAACAAAGAGTATGCAGGAAAAAAAGATAAAGAAAATGAAACGGGAGAGTGCCACAGCTCACTAGGCTAATCCTCCACCTTGCGGCGCCAGCACACAGGGTTCTAGTCCCGGTCGGGGAGCCAGATTCTGTCCCGGTTGCCCTTCTTCCAGGCCAGCTCTCTGCTGTGGCCAGGGAGTGCAGTGGAGGATGGCCAAGTGCTTGGGCCCTGCACCCCATGGGAGATCAGGATAAGCACCTGGCTCCTGCCATCGGATCAGCACGGTGCGCCGGCTGCAGTGCACTGGCCGCGGCGACCATTGGAGGGTGAACCAACAGCAAAAGGAAGACCTTTCTCTCTGTCTCTCTCTCGCTGTCCACTCTGCCTGTCAAAAAAAAAAAAAGAAACTGTTACTTAATAGTCAAGACAAGGGTAGCTCAAATCACCCCTTTTCGAAGTGTCAATTTCACTACTACAGATTTCATTTTAGATCCTCTATTAGTTCTCACAGATCAAGGAGAACATAAGTATTTGTCCCTTGGGACTGGCTTATTTCACTAAGTATGATGTTTTCCAGATTCCTCCATTTTGTTGCAAATAACCAGATTTCATTTTTTTTACTGCTGTGTAGTATTCCATATTGTGCATATCCCATAATGTCTTTATCCAGTTCAGTTGATGGGCATTTAGGTTGATTCCATGTCTTAGCTTTGTGAATTGAGCTACAATAAATCTGAAGGTACAAATAGCTCTTTTATTTGCCAATTTAATTTCCCTTGGGTAAATTCCAAGGAGAGGGATGGCTGGCTCATATGCTAGGTCTATATTAAGATTTCTGAGGTATTTCCAAACTGTCTTCCATAGTGGCTTTAACAGTCTACAATCCCACCAACAGTGGATTAGGGTAACTTTTTCCTCA